CAGTATTCCAAATGAGGTCTCACCATTGATTTATATAGGGGCATTATTATATTGGCTGATCTGTTTTCAATACCCTTCCTAATAATCCCCAGCATAGCATTGGCCTTCTTTATTGCAGTCACACACTGTCTCGACATTTTCAGTGAGTTATCCACTACAACTCCAAGATCTCTCTCTTGCTCAGTCTCTGCCAGTTCAGACCCCATCAATGTGTATTTATATTTAGGATTTTTGGCTCCAATGTGCATCACCTTGCACTTGGCCACATTGAACCCCATTTGCCATGTTGACGCCCACTCGCCCATCCTTGACAGATCCCCTTGGAGTGCCTCACAATCCTCACTGGTTTTCACCACCCTGAACAACTTTGTATCATCCGCAAATTTAGCCACTTCACTGCTTACTCCCATCTCCAAATCATTAATGAACAAGTTAAAAAGCAGTGGACCAAGTACTGATCCCTGCGGTACCCCACTGCTTACCACCCTCCACTGAGAAAATTGCCCACCTACACTCACTCTCTGTTTTCTATGAACTAGCCAGTTTTTGATCCATAAAAGGACTTGTCCTTCTATCCCATGATTTTTGAGCTTACTTAGGAGCCTTTGATGAGGAACTTTATCAAAAGCTTTCTGGAAGTCAAGGTAAATAATATCTATTGGATCCCCCTTGTCCACATGTTTGTTCACCCCCTCAAAGAACACTAACAGGTTAGTGAGACAAGATCTTCCCTTACAGAAACCGTGCTGAGTCTGCCTCAATAGGTTTTGTTCATCTATGTGCCTACTAATTCTTTCCTTAATAATGGTTTCCACCAATTTACCCGGTATCGACGTCAGACTGACTGGCCTGTAATTTCCCGGATCTCCTCTGGAACCCTTTTTAAAGATGGGAGTGACATTAGCTACCTTCCAATCCTCAGGAATGGAGGCAGATTTTAAGGAAAGATTACATATCTTTGTCAGGAGATCTACAAGTTCACATTTGAGTTCTTTCAGAACTCTCGGATGTATGCCATCTGGGCCTGGTGATTTTTCAGTTTTTAAGTTGTCTATCAGTTTTAGGACCTCCTCTCTCGTCACCTCAATCTGACTCAGGTCTTCCAACACCCCTCCTGAAATCAGTGGTTCTGGAGTGGGCAAGCACTTCTCATCTTCCACAGTGAAGACGGAGGCAAAAAATGCGTTTAGCTTCTCAGCCATTTCCCTATCATCCTTCAATACTCCTTTTACCCCTTGGTCGTCCAAGGGCCCCACTGCCTCCCTGGCTGGTTTCCTGTTTCTAATGTATTTGAAGAAAGTTTTATTGTTGGTTTTTACGTTTTTTGCTATATGCTCCTCATATTCCCTTTTTGCCTGCCTGACCTCAGACTTGCATTTTATTTGCCATAGCCTGTGTTCCGTTTTATCAGCCTCACTGTGACTAGCTTTCCACTGCTTAAAGGAATTCTTTTTACTTTTTACAGCCTCCATTACTCTGTTTGTTAACCATGCAGGCTTTTTCCTATACCTTTTTGTGCCTTTCCTAACCTGCGGAATATATATTTTTTGAGCTTCTAGGATCGTAGTTTTAAATAGATCCCAAGCTTCCCCAATTGTTTTGACCCTTTCTACTTTTCCTTTCAGTTTCCTCCCCACGTGTCCCCTCATATCAGAGAAATTACCCCTTTTAAAGTTAAAAATGGTTGTGTGAGTCTTTTTGGCCAATTCTCTATTTGTACAAATGATGAACTCAACAACATTATGATCACTGTTTCCAAGCGGTGCAATCACTTTTACATCTCTCACCAGGTCTTGAGTGTTACTTAGGACCAAATCAAGGATCGCCTCTCCCCTGGTAGGTTCCGTATAATACTGAAATTCCTTAGGGTGGAGAAAATACCTCCAATTACATCTACATATCTAATAGCGATGTCGCCCCCTGCGTGTGGATACTTATTTATGCACATCGGGGGCACCTGGGGGGGAGGGAGATGTTTGTGCACACTTGGGGCAGTCCCCAGGTGTGCACAAAAATCTGAAAGCGGGGTGGTGGTGGAGGATACAGGGGAGGAACCGGCAGGAGGGGGGGGAATTACCTCCTCCTGCTGCTTTCTCCTCTTCCTCATAGGTGTGGAGCTCCCCCCTCCCCCTCCCGCAAGTATCGCGGGTCCCGCCCCTTGTTTATACCTATTAATGATCATGCATTTTGAGAAAATAATTACGATTGTTAAAAATATTCTATCAAAAGATATGTGAAATGTTATTAAAATGCGATTGTGAGAATGAAGACATGAAGGAATGTATAATAAAATGGATGCAAGATGTGGCAGAAATAGATGAATGCAAAAATGGACTCTCTCTAGCCAATTTGTTACGTCTTTTCTTGAATTATGGCTATTTAGGTGACCTGTTTTAATATATTGTCTGGGTAGTACATGAAATAAGATTATAGAGTAAATACATTTTACACTTTAAAGAATTTATAATGACAGAAAGTGAGAGAGTTTCATAATCTCTGGAGGAATTACCTGTCAGCAAGAAAGTACAATAATCATAATTTCTGTGAAAAGACTTTTGGGATGTGGTTTACAACTGGGTCCATACCTTATTAGGGATGGGCACAAACGGGGAAAATGAAGTTCAGTTCGTGGTTTGTGGTCCACCCGCTGACCAAACATGGACCATCACAGACAAACCCCCCATATGTATAAATGGGACCAGTACAGGAATTTTGTAGGACAGCCCCCCCCGAATGCTAGAGACACCAAACTTACAGTGATTTCCATATTACTCTTTTCTACCTGCACTGCAAGTTTGGTGAGGATTTGATTCTTGGGGTTTGAGTTACACTCCCCCCCCCCCGAAAGGTACCCCATACTCCATTGTTTCTAATAGATAGAATCATAGAATTGGAAGGGATCTCCAGGGTCATCTAGTCCAACCTCCTTCACAATGCAGGAAATTCACAACTAACCTCTTCCCCCACACCTGCAATGACCACTGTTCCACACCCAGAAGATGATGGAAGGGACAAACAACAAATAAAGCAAGGGCAGAAGCCCAGCAGAACAGAAATAAAATCAAAGTCCCCCAGAAACTCTCCAATAGAAACTGAAAGTGGGGGTATTTTTGGCAACCCAGCAGAACCAAGGCAATGTGCCCTGAGACCACCTGAGACCCAAACCAGCATGGAGTGACATATGTAGACATGGTGGCTCCAAGCTCTGAGATGTATATAGACGTGATGGCTCCAAGGAAGGAAGTAGACATGGTGGCTCAAAGGCCTGAGAAGGGAGTAGATCTGGTGGGTCAAAGTCCTTAGACAGAAGTAGATGCGCTGGGTCGAAGCCCTGACAAGGAAGTAGACATGATGGTTTGAAGCCCTGAGATGGAAGTAGACATGGTGGCCCAAAGTGGTGGGTCAAAGCCCTGAGACAGAAGTAGACATAAGAACATAAGAACTGTGGGTGTGGAGGGGGAGGTATTTGTGAATTTCCTGCATTGTGCGGGGCTTGGACTAGATGACCCTGGAATTCCCTTCCAACTCTATGATTCTATGATTCTTTTCGGCCCTGGCTCTGACCTGGTGGAACTCTCTGTCAAATACCACCAGGGCCCTGGGGCACTTAATGAAGTTCTGCAGGGCCTGTAAGGCAGAGATGTTCCGCCAGGCCTTTGGTTGAAGACGGTGATGGTCAATGTTCCCTCTAAGCTGTGAAGTCTTGTGAGCAACAATTCTACTTTGTGAGCTCCTGGCATTGAAGTTGTGAGCGAGCGATTTGGCTCCTGCATCAATGAGTTTGCTCTGGAGTCCTCCTTCCTGAGCTCAGACAAAAATGTGTGAACCAGAGGCTAAAAACCTGTGAGCTAACTCACACTAACTCAGCTTAGAGGGAACGCTGGTGATGGTTCCATCACAGCCGGCACCCTCTTCTTTCTCTCTCTCAACTTTTCCCTCCATCTTCACTTCAGCCCAGTCCGGAGCAGGGTAGCGAAGAAACTGACGCCATCTGATATAATGTGGTCATCCTTATTCGGTTTTCTTTTTAAGCTGTTTTTAATGGTTATACATCGCCTAGAGCCTTACATCGTAGAGAAATAAGCCATTCATAAACTGAAATAATAATAATAATTAATAATAATAACAATAATACCACACAGTATCAGCCACCTTTATGTACTGAATGCAAGTAAATTAACCCTTTAAATACTTCTCCACTTCTGTAGTGCACGCTCCATTGCTATTGGCATCCTAACAATTTATTTATTTATTATTGCACTTCTACCCCGCCCTCCCCGCAAGTGGGCTCAGGGTGGATCACACCATGGATCACACCATGTGCCAACACAATAGATGTGGTGTTTCCCAGCCCAGAGATGGCATCCTTAGTCACAGCACAGTTGTCAGCAGGCTGCCAATATTTTGCCAATGTTTTGTTTTCATTCGGTGTATGTGTGTGCGCTTGCATCTGTCACTGTGGAATCGTAGATGCGCATGTCTATGTAGCTCGCCGAAACAATTATCTAGCTCAAGGTCGCAGGTGGAAGCAGAGCTTCTTAGTGCGGAGAAGCTCTCACTAAACACCGTAAGAAGAAGATAACGTGAGAGGCTTGGGACCGTTAGTTCTCAGGCTTAAGGGTGCGCGGGGGAACCCCCGCAATTGGCCCGTAGTAGTTTGAATGTTTATTATATGCTTGGCCATTGCTTTTACCCCTCATTCTGAACAGTGATCCTGTTATGCACCTTCAGCTCTAATAAAGTTACCTTTTCTTCAAAAGCGTGCTTATTATGATGCAAGGAGGAGTCTGACAACAGTGTCAGTTCAACAGAAGAAGAAGAAGAGATTGGATTTATACCCCGCCCTTCACTCAGAGTCTCAGAGCGGCTTACCAACTCCTTCCCCTTCCCCCTCCCCACAACAGACACCCTGTGAGGTAGGCGGGGCTGAGAGAACAGCTCTGACAGAATTTATGGCTTGCCCAAGGTCATCCAGCCAGTTGCAAATGGAGGAGTGGGGAATCAAACCCGGTTCTCTCAGATTAGAGTCCGCGCAAGAAAAAGAACGAGGGGCAAATCGACAAAAACGAATCAACCCGCCTTATTATTTCAGTGGCTCATGAAGCACTGGTGCAGGGAACAGCGCGGAGTTTCCGATGACGGGGGTAAACGGTGAACCCTACAACAGGCTCCAGGTTGTGGTCTTTCACTCCTTCTGGGAACTTGAAGGTGAACGCCCGCATCAGACTGGTGAAGAAGACGAAGAGTTCTATCCTTGCCAGCTGCTCTCCCAGACAGACACGGGCCCCTGCAAGCAAGGTAAGTGGAAGAAAACAAACGAGCCATTATCTAGTGGGCATTATCTTGGTTTCGATGTTATTGTGCAAAGAAAGACATGAGTTTCTCATTATCCGTAAAGTGTAGCCTCTTAACATAGAATCTCTGAGCTGGGAGGGGCCAGACAGGCCATCTATTTTATTTATTTATTTATTTATTTATTTATTTATTTACTTTTGGGATTTATATCCCGCCCTACCCAAGCGGCTCAGGGCAGCTAACAGGCGGCCATGCCGGATTAAAATATAAAATACAATAAAACATCATTACATACAGAATAAAATGGTGCTCTGCAATTCTCTAAGACTCCCCAAGATGTGCGATGACCCATGTTGGCGGCCAGCGTTATTAATGGCGTGCGCGCCAGGAGTAATACAGGCCATCTAGTCCAGCCCCCCATCTCAATGCAGGATCAGCCCAGAGTATCCCTGACGAGTGTTTGTCCAGCCGCTGCTTCAAGACGGCCAGGGAGGGGGAGCTCACCACCTCCCCCGGCAGCTGATTCCACTGCTGCACAACTCTGGACTGTAAGAAGGTTTTTCCTAAGATCCAGCCGGTACCTTCCCGCCCTTAATTGAAACCCATTTCTTGCGGGTCCTCTCCTCTGCTGCCGACAGGAACAGCTCCCTGCCCTCCTCTGAGTGACAGCCCTTCAATGACTTAAACGGAGCAAACATGTCCCCCCCCCTCCAACCTCCCCTTCTCCAAACTAAACATTCCCAGGTCCGGGGCTATTTTCGGGCAGGAACACACAGGAACGGAGTTCCGGCTGGCTTCAGAGTTGGCCATGCCCAATACAGCCAAATCCTCTGTGTGTGTAGCTACAGAGGGAAGGCCTGGAGAGCGACCCCCCCCCCGCAACTCTGAGGTGGGCAGGACAGGGGGGGCCTGGAAGGATCAGGGAGGCATTTAAATGCCTCCCCATACCTTCCCTGGCCTGGCCAAGGGCCGGCTCACCCGGGCGCCCCACAGCCGCAGGGCGCCCAGGCAAGCCATGGGAAGGCATGGGGTGTGGCCTAATATGCTAATGGGCTGTGGTGTCGGGTGTGTGGCCTAATATGCTAATGAGTTTCTGCTGTTGGGTGTGGCCTATTATGCTAATGAGTTCCTGCTGGGCTTTTTCTGCAAAAAAAAGCCCTGCCCAGGTCTCTCAGCCTTTCCTCATCACATCTACATTGTAATTGCTTTACCCAGAAAAACGTACAATATTGAATGATTCCATATGTTATTTAAGAGCTGGGCTAACTCATGGATTACTTAGATAGTAACCATTCTCGGAAGCCCAACACTGGAGGAGGAAACCAGGGATGATTTGGTAGTGGTGGGAAGTGCGGTCAAGTCACAGCCAACTTTTGATGACACCATAGGGTTTCCAAGGCAAGAGACATTCAGAGGTGGTTTCCCATTCCCTGCTTCTGTGTAGCATGCCTGGACTTCCTTGCTGGTCTCCCATCTAAGTACTAACCAGGCTCGCCCCTGCTTAGCTTCTGAGATCTGATGAGATCGGGCTAGCCTCAGCCATCCAGGTCTATTCACTAAAAAAAAGCAAACTTGTTTTCAGCTGTTCAAGGGTGCTGCCAGTTTGGTGTAGTGGTTAAGTGCGCGGACTCTAATCAGTTTGGTGTAGTGGTTAAGTGTGCGGACTCTAATCAGTTTGGTGTAGTGGTTAAGTGTGCGGACTCTAATCAGTTTGGTGTAGTGGTTAAGTGTGTGGACTCTAATCTGGGAGAACCAGGTTTGATTCCCCACTCCTCCACTTGCAGCTGCTGGATGACCTTGAGCAAGCCATAGCTCTGTCAGAGCTGTCCTTGAAAGGGCAGTTTCTGTCAGAGCTCTCTCAGCCTCGCCTACCTCCCAGGGTGTCTGTTGTGGGGAGGGGAAGGGAAAGGAGTTTGTAAGCCGCTCTGAGACTCCGAGTGAAGGGCAGGGTATAAATCCAATCTCCTCCTCCTTTTCTTCTTCTTCTTCTTCTTCTTCTTTTGTTGTGGGGAGGGGAAGGGAAAGGAGTTTGTAAGCCGCTCTGAGACTCCGAGTGAAGGGCAGGGTATAAATCCAATCTCCTCCTCCTTTTCTTCTTCTTCTTCTTCTTCTTCTTCTCTTCTTCTTCTTCTTCTTCTTCTTCTTCTTCTTCTTCTTCTTCTTCTTCTTCTTCTTCTTCTTCTTCCTCTTCTTCTTCTTCTTCTTCTTCTTCTTCTTCTCACAATCTGTGATGAAACTGTTGTTCAAACTAGGGAGTTTAGAGCTGATCCCTGGAGTGAATATTACTGGGTTCCTCCTAACGTGACTCTCAAACATAAGCTAGTCTGGACCTGTGATTTTACCTGCACCAAATGGAAGGAATCCTTCTCTAACCACAAAATTGCCATCCTTGTCTAGGAAGTGGTTTGGGTTGAACTTTTCAGGTGTCTCCCATTGCTTTGGATCAACAAGAACAGAGCGTAGATCTGCAATGATAAATGTCCCCTGTAAAGAAAACAACAACAACAACAAACTGAGGCATAGTGCTTGCAGAACAACACATCTCATTTTATTTAGTTACTTTATCTCCTGCCTTTCTCCCCAAAGGGGGATCCAAAGGAGCTTATGTCATTTTCCTCTCGTCCATCTGATCCTCCCAGTAACCCTCTGAGGTAGGTTAGACTGAGGGTGATTTCTCACGAGAGGTGCCTCGCAGCACCGCGCCGTTTGCCCCAACACAAACATGTCAATTTCACACCCGAGGCTGTGGGGCTGCATTTGACTCGGGGCTTCACCCGATTTCCTCTGCAGTTTCATGATCCTCAAAAACCAGGATCACGAAACTGCGGAGGAAATCGGCGAAGCCCAGAGTCAAAATGCAGCCCCGGAGCTTCGGGTGTGAAATTGACATGTTTGTGTCGGGGCAAACGGCGCTGTGCTGCGAGGCAGCTCTAGTGAGAAATCGCCCTGAGAGTGTGTGACTGGCCCAATGTACCTTATACATCTATATCTATGTTTCCCATGCATGCTCATTGTTCAGGGTATAACGAAGGGGTTGCACACAGAACAATATAAATCCAGCATATATTGGGGCGGGGGGGTGTTTTCATTTGCAGCTTTGTTCATAAATGAATGCCGAACTGGTATAGTTTAGGTAGGAACACACCAATACATTCTGATAAACCTGATGCAGCTTGCAACCATTTTTTAAACCGTGCATTCATGAGAGATGAGCAAATATCAGGGGAGAAGAGCAAGTTTCTCTCCTGTGTAATTGCTAAGACAACAGGGCTTTTCTGCATTCCCATTTTCCTCACCTGTAAGTTCCTGTTGCTTGGGGGG